TGCTTCAAGCTCCATGTCATGAAATGCTTGGTTGTCTAGCTTTTATTCAACATAATGGACTGTCAACTAAATCATTTGATGATGACAACTTACAGTTTATTTGCATGGACTGCTTTGTAATGCATGGAGGTCATTTGCATGTCTAACCAGGAAAAGGAAATAATCCAGTCTCATGTCAAAATCAACACAATTCTGATACCATGTCTGCTTTAAAATTGTTTAGTAAATGGATTAAGCAAACTGCTGAATCCAATGATAAAACTGTAAAAGCTAATTTAGTAAATAAACTTATTAGAACCCTTGATAATTCAGTCATAAGCATACATGAAATACAGAATACAATGCCTTCTACAGTTCCTAGCTATTTTTTGATCAAGACGGTATTCACAATCAAGAAAATCAAAATTAATGAAGAAGCATACACAAAGCAATTAAAAGCCACTGCATGTGATGACTTTGGAAAAATACTTGCCCTCTTGGTATTACAAGAACATTTAACATTAAAACAGAATTTATCATTACTTGAAGAGCCAGAATTTCTAGATGAATACTATAATGCTATGCTGTTGCCACTTGTAAATTTTTTTACTGGCTTTATTACAGTTCTAGAAAAAAAAAAATTAAGTACTAGCTAGAAAATGAAGAGAACGAAACTTGCTTCCATCTCAGCTAAATGAAAGAAAAATCAAATTATATATACTTTTCTTCACTTCAGTATTACTTACTATCACCTTTCACTATTGGAAAATATGGTTTATTTATATTCTTTCTTCCCTTTGTCGATGACCAAACATGATTAGATCCTTGTATAAAATCCTTCATACAGTTGGAGTCATATCGTATGCTAAAGATCATGAAGTACATCTTCAAAAAAAAAGAATGCTAGCCACTGATCCTCAGCAAAGACTAGATCTACGTTCGAATTTGTTAAATATTGCAATTATAGATAATATCGATATGAAAGACAAAGTCTTCCGATTTGGTAATATCTTTGATGTGACTCATAATACTGCATATGCAACATTAAGGATGATTATTCAATCTGAATGTTTAGAACTTGCCAATTTAGACATAGAATCACTAGAGCATCAGGATCTCTTTGATGTAAGTTCTATAATGAAAAAATGGCAAGAAAAAATTAATGCGGTTTTCAATCAATTAGTTAACCAAAAGTGTAAATTTAGTGTTAAAGACATTAATGCAGCTATTAGAAGACATTTTGACACAGCAATATTTATGGCATCACCAAATGCTATAATTCTTGGTTCAGAAGATGCTCCAAATAAAAATAAAAATATTCATAGGGCAGTTGATTTATTCCTAGAAGATTTTGACTATACTGAGAATGGTGTTTTAAATTTGGTATATGACGAAGCAATCTATTGTCACATAAAGGATTATAAAAGTAAAGAGCAAACAGTAAATTGCATTTTAGGACAATGGCATACAAACAAAGCAATGTGCAGCATACTAATTGCTGCTTTTTCGGGCTATAGTCTCTTTGGACTTGCCACAGAGCTCAGTGTTAAATTCCTTGATAAATTTGTAAAAGTCATTGATTACCGAGCAACGTTTCGAATGCTTGAGCTCATTTGAACAGTAGTTGGAGCCGCAATTTACTTATATGCTAAGAAAAAAAGAAGACCTATTAATGATCTTTTAGTACAAAACAATTTATTAAAAACTTGGCACAATTTTTACCAATTTGCAAGATACTTAAAACTGTACAAACTCAGAATTCATATAGCAAATTTTGATCTACAAATGTATAGCTTAATGGCATTCACTCCTTTATTTCCTATAACAGGAAAATGAAGATATGCTAAGTCTGTAGCTCGCTTCCTGTCAGATCTCCAAAACTGACCACAAATGCTTCAAGATCTTAGAACAGTGCCTTTAGTAAATATAACACAAAATGATCATTATCTTGCTTTCGACGAGGCTTTAGAAATATTCAGAGTAATGTTTATAAAAGAAAACATGACTGAACTAGCAACCAATTTGGACAATTTGAGGTTAAATATCAAAGCAGCACAAGCAGAACATGACCGATTTGACCTATTAATCTCAGAATTTACTGAAAATCTGTCAATAAACAGAAGTTCATGGCCTGTTATAAATCATCAAGAAGCTCTTTAGAGACTAATCAACAAACTTAAATTAGCATTTAGCAACTCACAACCAGAGTCCCACGATTTATTTACAGTAACTATGCAATTGACAAATGATGGATACTTTCGAATGTTCAATTGTTATCAAACTGGAATCAAAAGAATAAATACAGGTGTGGGTCTCATAGCTTAGCAGTTAAGCTCCTATGCCCTCACAGTCAAGGTCAATGATTCAAGTCCAGCTGGAGACAAAAATTAAAAAAGATTTTAGGCTCTGTAACCCAATAAGGAACCAGTAATTGAATACGAAGCCCTGTGGTTAAGTCCAAGTGCAGTACATGACTGAAGTAGGAATTCCCGGAAGGAGATCCAATCATAGAGTGTAGGCACTATGTGTAACAAGTGGTTGTTACAGAAGGTTATGGTTATGGAAAGATTACACATGTAAGTTCTTTAGGCTAGGGTAGCACCAACATCCCTACACCTCCTAATTAGGTAGTATCAACATCTCCGTACCTAACTTGTGAGATATTTGCTTGGAAGAATAATCAACAGATTATGCAAATAAGTCCTAATTGGGACCTAAGGAAAAGGATTTGATTGGAAAAGTAGTCTGAAAGTAACCAAGACTAAAATGATGAGAGAAGCGATAAACATGAGGATGGGCTGTGGAAAAGGATTAGTCTTATCAAGATTGGAAGCACCTCTGGCACTGTGGAATGTCCTGATATTGAAGATAGCAAATGTATAGAGGAAGTAATCTGTTCTATATGTCTAAAGGTACCAAGCCGGAACTCTGATCATACCTATATGGAAGTCTATGACGATATAAGGATGAACATACCAACATGAATGCTACACCAATTAAGATTGAGACACCCCAAATTGGAAGTAATAGTAATATTACAATGATGACAGCTGAAAGAGGTAACTCGCACAACAGGTTCAGACTATTATCATAAAAGAGAGTATTAAAAAGGCAGATTAGTTGCACAATTTATTGAAAATAACGCTAAGACCAGAAGAGTACAAACCAGTAATGACACCAGGGACCTGGCTTGAGATACATGCTACTAGTACCTGAATTGGAAAGTTAGCAATGGTAGCAGGACTCTGGCTTGAGATACGAATTATAAGGCATTGTTCTGGCAGACCAAAGATGGTAGCTCATAAGGAGCAAACGACCTGGTAGACCAATTTGAAAATTGTTTAAATAGTTTATGAGACATAGGGGGAATATGCAAATTATCTAATATAGATAGATGTGAAACAAAAATCCAGGTTATGTGTAAGTGAGATACAAGATTAGCTCTGGTAAGTTTAGATCATAGATAAATTAGTCTAAGTCTCATCTCTTAATTAGACATATAATAATAGATAATGTATAATGTAAAAAGTTGTACAAACTGTAACAATATGTTCGAATAAACAGACCTGAGACATGACCTTACCTTAACTCCAAAAAAAAAAAAAAAAAAAACCAAAACAAAAGAATAAATATTATTGTTGAACAAGACATTAATACTGCTATGCAAGTGGAAAAAAAGGGACAAGGTAAACGAGACCTAGTGCCTATGGAGTTAACAAACGAGACAAAACATGCAAAAATAAAAGATAATAATACAACAAAAATAATAATTAAAAATAGTAATTCTGTTCAAGCTCTAGAACTACATAACATCAAAATTGAAGAGACCATATATGAAGAAGAATTGCAATCAATACTATCTTCCAAAACTGGTTCATCTTCAACATCTATATCATGTACAATATACATACCTACGCCTGCTAAGGAAGAGATTCTAAAAGATTTAGAAGTATATGAAAATTCCAGTATATTGCCCACTAAAGTTATTGATGGTTTAAAGAGAAGGTTGTCACAATATACCGAATATTGGACGTCAAAAAGAATTTATGATAGATGGTATAACCAGTATAGGCAGTCAAAAAAAGCATAAATAAAATGAGTTAAACATGTTTTTATAAAGTTGTATAAACTAAAATGCAAATAAAAAATTTAATAAAATATTTCAAATTAAATAATTTTACCTCAAAGTTCCTTAATAATCGGGTCGAATTAACAAATTATAATGATCTACATAGTATAAAAAAGGTTTTTCTTTATTTTCTCCCCAAATTTATAACATACTACCTGTTTGAAGGTATAGTTCACAGAAAGTCCTCACTTGTGCACATCTACTGATCTACTTTTTGTGCCAAGAATCTGCGAACTGAAGAATAATCTGATGAAAGAAGGTAAAATAGTTGCGATCTTTGAAGGTTTCGTACTCTATGTGAAGGCGTCCGTTTTTTATGTTATTTACACCATTCTGCTCGTAGAAACTTCAGCAATGGCTTTGTTTAAAAGAAGAATATATATTATGACTAAGACTTGGGCAGAAAAATTTAAAAATGCAAATTCGTTGATTCGTGTAACTTATGAAGATCCTATTATAAAATTTTAGATGTGACAAATCGGGCATCTGATAAGTAGAATAAAATACTAATAAAATACACATACGTATTTGCAAAGTTTGAATTTTAATATGTAGCACTGTTAAATTACTTATTTTTTAGCAAATTCAATTTTGACAGATTTTTTGTAAAGTTAATAAATAAATATCTTGTCAATACAAAATTAATTGATTCTTATAGACCAGCCGGATCAAATTTTGAAAGTTTTAGAGAATTTTTATACATTTAATAAATCTTATGAATTATTTAAAATAATTTTATTATTTAAAAAGTTTACAAGTTGCCTAATATATATATAATGTTTTTGATTTAATATTTCGGCTGTTTTTAATAATAATAATTTTAAAAGTTCAACCACTATTGCTTCCCATTATTATCCTAATTAACAGAATACAAGATAAATAAATATACACTTCAATAGCCTTCAAAAGCCTCAAGATTTCCATTCCAATATTTTAATAATTTCATATTCTTTATTTCAGACCATTTATCCCCCATTAAATTTTCGAGTAGTATTTCTTTGACTACTCTAACTCCAGAATTTAAAGCTGCAACAATCCAAGCACAGTGTATATCAGTATGCTCTCCAGCCCAATGAATAGATTCCTCCGGTCTCATCATGGAAACCATTAATGAACCTAGTTGTGCGACACTGTAATCTGAATAAGCACCTCCGGAAGTTCTATCAGTTGGCCAATACTGTGCCTTATTATTTTCTTTACCTGGAATCCATTCTTTATATACAATATCACCATGAATAGTTGCTAAATCTTTTAGAGTGAGTTCAAATTTTTCTTCATCACTGTATTGAGCATATTTTGCCGCATCATTACCCCATGTATAAGATGCTAAAAGGACTGCAGGATTATCGACAGATATATTTCGATAATATGAAGGATAGACCAAAATACGAATAGGAAGGTCAGTGTGAGTGATACCACCAACAATTCCAACATTAGAAGTTGTAGGATTAGAACCAGTTTCAGAAGGAGATTTTTCCCAAAAACGTGATTTGAACTGGAGGAATATTTTTGCAGCAAGTCCATAATTTATTTCACGAATTGCACTTCGTTTTCCATATGATAATGCTATTAAATGATAATGTTAATTATAAATATATTTTTTTTAAATTCTAATCAGTTCATATAATAAATAATAATAAATAATAATGATAATTATATAATATTTACTTGAAGGTAAATCCCAATGACGGACAAGACCTAAAGGAACAGTGACAATTACTTGATCAAAAATTTCGGAGACACTTCTTCCATCATTTTTCCAATACACTTCAACTTTATTATCGTTTGTTTTTTCCAGCTTATAAACTTCACTATTATATGTCAGATTAATATTTTCCTTTTTGATCATTGGCAAGAAAGCATTAGGAAGTCGTTGCAATCCTTTATCAATGGTTTTCCAGCTTATCTCATATTTAGGATTGCTAAAGGTATACGCCTCAACGACACAATTAGGAAAACTATATAAATGATATTCACCTAATAGTATATTTATTTTAGAATTATAATCAGTTAACAATTGATTAAAATAGCCAGAATGAACAATTACATACCCGTTCCTGCTTCTTGCAGTTCAATAGCACTAATAATTTCATCATAGTCATCAGATTTGTCTGGTAACACTTTGGGAAGATAAATTTCTTTTAAATAAGAATAAGTAGTATAGTTATCGTAACGTTTTAAATTTATAAGACCATTTGTGAAATTCGAATCCAATTCGTCATAAAAAGGTTGTACTGCATCACTCCAAAGACTAAGATAATTATATGGAATTTCATCAGGTAATCCTAGTTGTTTCGCGTCAGCGCTTTCAGAGTAATTGCTGGTCATAATTTCACCAGATGGGGTTTTTTTATTGTTGAAGTAATACAAAGCACTTTATATAAACATTTAGATGGAAATTATTAATATATTCATAGTGATAGTTGACGATACTGTATTTTTAAAATATTATACTAACTTTGGATTATTAAAAATAAAAGGAATGAGATTGATTTTTCTATCTGGATCATCCTTCTCATTATATTCATTCATATAATCAATTGTATCAAAGACAAGTTGATGTGGACTAAGATCCGGTCGATCTTGAACATAAGGTAATCTCATTGCACCAAGCTCTGCATATAAACGTCTTTCATCATTAGGATTATCAGTAAAGTAATGAGTATGGACACGTCCACCAACACGATCTTGATATTCAAGAATAGTGATATCATTGATACCGGCTTTTTTCAAAAGAAGGGATGAAAACAAGCCTGATAATACATATACGTATAAGATTAAATTCATTAAATGCGTTCATGATACATATAACAGTAAATATTGATTAAAACAACAACATACCAGCCATTCCTGCGCCAATAATGCATATTTCTAGTATATAGAATAGCATCTTTTTAGAATTAATGTTATTACAACCACATAATAAATTATAAACATTGAATATTTTATACTTGGATTTTTTGTTGGAGTGCTTCGAGGATTTACTTTTATATTTTCATCATTAATTCTAGATATAATTATATAATATATAATAATTATAATAATTATAATAGATTATAACTAATTAAGCTTACTTTATGCAGTAAATATGTATACGTATTAATATGTGCTTACTTTTTAGGATATTTATTGTAGTAATAATAATCTTTTAAAAATGCTGTACGTTTGTCAATATCATTATCAAGTATCCCTCTTTGAAGTTGACGGGTCAATCTCGCTGCTCTGTGTCTTAAAATTGCTCGATCCTCTTTATATAAAATAAATATAAATTATCATGAAAATAGATAAAATATTTCATCTCGTATGTTCCGATAAGAGTAATACTTACGCACTAGTAATTATAGTAAATATTTCAAGAGAATTTAGTTAACAAATTATGTCTAATTTGTTTATTAAGCTGTTTGAAATTATAATTTCATTTAACTTTCCCCTTCCACCTCCAAAATTAAACAAGCCAATCAGAACGTTCGTTGCGTTTTGTAATTTCAATAAATTATTTTTTTTTTTGGTATTAAGGTGACCTCTTTGGTCTTTTGACTTTTATTAATCACTTGTCGGCATTGTGGTTC